GCGTAAATTATGTAGCATTACGTGAAATATATTTATTAATTGATTTCCACTGAAAGTAAAACACCGGGAGCTGATTTTTTCATTTACACACTCAGGCTCCACCATGCTTTTGGTGTACGATTTCTCCATCGAAGCGACGCATCTAGTTATTTTGCCCGAACAATAACCTCGTCCCTCGTCCAATTCTATCTGCTTTCTTTGAATATTGACAACATTTCTATTCTGGTTCATCAGACTAACTTTTCGCCCCCAATGTGTGTGTAAGTCGACAAAATTTAAAATATGCAGCAAGAAAATCGCCTACTGTGCAATATCAAATTCCTGGAGCATTGAACAACAGGGAGCAGGACGTTTAGAGTAACATTTCAAGAACCACCGGATTAATCAATTCCTGACCACATCCGTGTCACTAGAGAGCTAGTGATAGCTCGCGTGCATGTGCATATTGCTACTTCGCAAATGGATGAGTAGGCCATTCTGCAATGGCAGAACGTGCCAAGGAAAGGCTACGGGTCATCAAAAGCGAATTGATCAAAACCATACGCAGAAGATAGTAGAGCTGGTGTTTCAAGAAAACGGAAATTCAGCATTCTTCAAAGCAAATGAGTGTCAGTGCCTGCATCGGAAATCTCCTTCGAAAGTATCTCAACCCACTGCAATCAATCACGGAATAAATTCCCCGTACCACCCAACCACTTCCTGCATTCTACCATTTTATATCAGCGTGCGTTTAAAGCTTCTTTAAAATAATCCAATTTTGAGCTTCGTTCGTAACCGAAGAATGTGTGATAACAAGGCCAACTTGCGAAGCGAATGTCAAGCAACACGGTTTTCACTTACAGATTGACATTGCGCCATATGTGTTTTAACGGTTAATTCATTAACTACGAAGTGAAATAAATCGAAATTATTTGATTTTGAATAAAGCGAATCACTTTCTAGAAGATTCCGTTTTAACGAAACTCTGGCGATCATACAACCACAGAAAAACCGACAACACTTTCGTTCGCGGTTCAAATCCTCCTGCTCCAAATGACGGTCTTCTGGGTCGAATCGCTACTGTGAATGATAACCAAAACTGTAAATTTTTACATCCCGTCTACGGTTTCTACAAGTGGATTCAAAGCTCAACCGTGTATGAAGCGGATCCGGTACAAGTTGCTTCCAGACGCGACAAAAGGTGGAAAGAGGTCTCGATGATTGGTTATGCTGTTTTAGCTCCTCCTATGTGTGGTGCTACTATCCCGATATACAGCTTTTGGCAATTTGGAAAAGGCTATATACAAGTAAGAAATGGATCCCACTTTATAGCCCTGCTAGGAGAAGACCGATGGAAATATTCCGGCATGAGCTTTGCAATATGGGACTAAAATTGAAGAATGACCTAACATTTTCCAACAATAGTTTGTCTATTCGATAGAGAGAATAAAATATTTATTTTGAATTAAATTGCACGGTTCGACAAGCGATGTTGCGACAAATATTAATGAAGTAAAATAATTATTTTACTCATCTGACGGATGTGGAAGCAATCAGCACTCCTTTAAACGGGATGGAAATGACTGCGTACTAAAATTTCCATTGCAAGATAATTCAAAATATTATCTTTGTGAAGAACACTCTTTCAGTAAAACAAATATATCGATAATCTACAGGAAAGTGTCAAGTCTTGTCCTGTTGATAATGGAGTCCTTGCATGTTTTTACCATCAGATATTGGACGTTTTAAAAACAATCTTGCGAAAGGAAAATGTTGGGATGTTCTCACAAACTAGATAAGAAAGTTTGCAATGATATAGTAAGTGACTGAGATTGAACTTTAAAGTTTAAAGTTTGTGCATAGAATGGTTAAAGTTCTGTTTACAATGCCGATTCCGTAACTGCCTGTCAATTGGCAATGCGACGATTCAAACGAATGATCAGATGCTCTTCGAGGTTTGCGACTTTTACAAGCAGTACACCGCCCCATCCCGCGATATATCTGATATAGCACTAGATACCAATTGACTGTAGAATCCCAATTAAACAATGGCGCCCTTTCCGGTAACATTAATTCCGAAACGGACCGAAAGAGCCATTTGCGTCATAAAATAAATAACACAGCGCCAATTGGAACTAGGTCGTAACCTCTGAACATAATGAGCAGCCGTATACGATGCAAACAAGTTCAGTGTTGATGTATATACAGTTTCTGCTGTTACATAGTAAAAATAGTTATTGATGCGAACGCGTGTCACTGAACTTAACGATAATAAATCTGTGGCTGGAGTAAAGGAGAAGTATAATGGAAGTCTGAAGACTTCATTACCGGTGTTAATCTGTTAACAATCTTATCGAGGTATTTTGCATACGTAATGGTTGTTACAGCCTGCGCATCACAAAGACCAAAAATGGTAGCTAAATATAATGGCAATACAATGTTAACATCTTCACTATATGATGCCGTCAAACTTGAATCAGTAAGCCATCCAAAATTTCAGCGACGGTCAATAATAGGAATGCTCTGTCGCATCTAAGGTCTGCGGTTCATGGGTTTGTATCATTTCCTTAAAAACCCACTGAATTATCTCCAATCAAGTTCATAGATGTGTATACAGGACGAAATAATCTGCGCTGCGTCTATTTACAGTGCTATCAGATAGCGCAAGAGTAGCAGCTTGGAACAGTTGCCCATTGGTCGGTAATCCTCCTAAGCCACAAGACCGAAGAAACCCAATTTACTTATTATTCAATGACGTTTAAGCTGAGATATGCATATAAAATCTGCACAGAATTAAAAATACACATCTGCTGCACGTTTGAAATATTCATTCAATGATATTGAAGTATCGTTATCCCGCTAAGTCAAGGAAGCAACTGTGTCAGCAGGGCTTTACAATAGTTCTGAGCACGACAGTGCTAAATCTCCAACATAATCTCTCTCTCCGGTTCGCATCTGCTTCAGATTGGACTTTTCATTGACTTTTCGATGAGCATATGGCGGACAGGTTTCACTCATGACATTAACGAAGGATCGACATATTCCCCTTTACAAATGTGATATTCAATGCAGCAAAAAACCCGAAGTTTCTCACTTTGTAGAACCTGCACATGGAAGCAATTCTTCCAATAAGTAAAACTTCTGCCCTTGTACCTCAGGTATCCTCATGCAGTCAATATACATTATGTCTAAACCATATTGGCGTTCGAAGCTTATATGGAGGAACACTTTTTACCTTGAAAAATATTAAATTGCGGAAGTAAAAGTTTTGGTTTTAAGTCTATTCTTCAATCATTTTTCATCATTATTTGTTCAAAAACTATGCGTCAAATTTCCGGGCAAGTCAATCAGACAGAAGCTTTAGTGGGTGCGGTTAAGAGATGCAAAGATCTGAATGAATATAAATGCACTTGATTACTGGGAACGTTGCCTACAGTAATAATCTCTCCGTACGATGTAGTTTATTTGATTTCAGTTAAGGCGGTAAGGGTTTAGTTGAACATTGAAGCGAGCAGAAGTTATGGAGTGATCACAAGTTGCTACCGATTTTGGAATGGAGTTCGACGACGATTATATGTCCGAAAAAATCCTCGAATATGTGTATGTGTAATTTCTAGTTTTCTTCTTCGACTTTATTTCTGTTCGTTTTTATATTTAATTTTAAATTTCTGCCTAATGCTGCACGCTGTGTTTGTAACGAAGTTCAGAATTCTCAACAAGGTAAAAATATGTGATTGAGTTATTCGTTTTTGCATGTTGCATTTGGGGTATCGTTTTTCTTCCCACCGTTGTGCAATTTTTGAGAGTTTTCAGAATCACTATCGTATAAGATTTTGATGTTGCAGCTTACATGACTGTTGAATATTGTTTTGAAAAAAGAACTATATCAAAAATTAAATCATATTGCAAATTATAAAAAGATATTTGTCTGCGTTTAGTTGCGGGACTGTCACATCAAAATTCTTTAGACATATTTCAGACAAAAGAAAATTTAATTGGGGGAGTTGATTTTATTCTAGTCATCACGTATTACTCAGATACGTCGTTAGCCTTGTCTCCGGTGTACCATCCTGTTTGCTGTCTTGAAGCACTACAGTGGCTAAAGGGAGAAACATTTTTTCGAGTGACATCCTACGAAATGGGCCCATGAAATGGTATTCTTACCTAAAATCAGTAGGACTCCAAGTTAAGCATTGTAATGCCATGTCATATGCTTATGATGGATCGCAATGTAAGTTGATGTGCGTGACGTATACTCTCCGATTGACAGCTGAAGGGCGCAAACTTAAACAGTTTCGCCTTCTGTTTATTTTATGCTATGATTTCCATGTATATCGTAGTGTGGTGTATAATATCGTCTAAACTTTGCTCCTTCCGTGGCTTCGAAAAGCCTTCACTTTTCAAGACTTGTTACTTGGCAATGTTTGGTAATTATATAAATTTGTTGCCATTTTCAAAATGTTAAAGACTGAAATTCATTTGTGCGATGCATTGCCGGTGTACTATCGCAAATAAACGTCATACACCCGTGGAAAGCTTTATGTCCTCAGAATTTTTGCTCTTAAGAACTTTCAGGAAATTTCAAGCTGACTCATCACTCAGTGTCCCGAACTTTCCCGATCTTATGCCATCGTTTGAGCTTCAACAGAGGATAACCAGAATCTGAAGCAGAGTCTTTCCAGAACCCTTCCGCAAGCATTTTCTTGACCATTTCTGGCTATAGTCTGTGGGGTCAACAAATAGTAGCTGTTGTGCCTTCTTTTAATGAAAACGTTCGCAGTGTATGCCCAGACAATCGTAGCTGTGACTTGTCATTCTGAAGGAGAGGAGGCTCCATACCAAGGCTCTTTCAGATATTTGTACTCTCGACTTTGTCGAGATATGTGAACCAAGCGATTCGCCTCAGAAAGCATATCTGAGCGGCTTGCAAGCCTCATGACAGTTGCCACTGATGCAGTCATGGGTGATCATTTTACTATGTTCGAAGTCTAACATTTTACACACCGTCGTTTTATTTCAGGATGAGTTTTTCTCCTATCTTTATCTACTACGTTTTTTGCGACACCCGGTATAGTAGCGATAATGCGAAAAGGCGTTCATTTAAAAAAATACTGCAAGCGTTTTGTCGAAATCATGGGTTGTCGGTCTGCTAACAATTCTCAGAATGTACTAGACCTGTGCAATTGGGCGACATTGGATAGGAGCAGTTGATGGCAACGAAATGGAGAGATTTCATTTCTGTTAGGATGGCTACATTGCTGTATGCAAGACTGCAATAAAATTCTGCAGTTTATTAAAAAATATAATTGATCTGAATTCCGAAAATTCCATTTCACTAGAAAAACTGCAAATCATTTGTCTTAAAGCTGTTTAGTTTTATTATGTTAAAATGCAGGTGATTTTTTTAGACCCGATATTTGTCCGGGAATTAACGTCGGCAGCGTTGCCAGACAGCACAGAATCGACCGTCGTCAGAACCGGGCTAATGAACTGAACAAGGCGTATTCGAGGAAGGACTTGGAAAGGCTTAACCGCGAGGAGGCATTAAATACGGCAATTGGACAAGAAAACAAAGGATATTCTTTACTGACGAAGATGGGTTACAAACCTGGAATGAAGCTTGGAAAGCCTAACAGCCTATCGGAGTCAAGTGGCCTTGCGGAACCAATTAAACCAGTGATAAAACCAGACAAAGGGGGCTTGGGGCGCAGTGATGACAATGAACGTAAAAGACGGTTATTGGATCATTTAAGAAAGGAGCTGTCGACAAAGAGGCAACAGCTGAACGAAGACTTCCTTATCAGGTGTTTTTTTGGATAAAAGTTATGGGTTAATTAATTAAACTAAGATTAGCGATATTACGAAGTTTGTCTTGTATGCATTGGCCACTGATCACTGGCTTAATGTCCGTGCCCTTTATTGCGCCGGGGCCTTGCGTATGATAGACACAGTTTCAGACCATTGGGGTTTCATTCAGTCGGAATTCAAGATCTTATTACCGTCCGGTTTCCCTCTCAGTATCCTTCCCTTGAGCCGGACGGAAAAATTCTGATGTTCCAGCCTGCCTGCTACGCTATCATACGACATGCCAGTTTCCATAGCATGCAGTACTCCATCTGCAAATTATGACTGGCCAGGAAGCTCTTGATGATGTTTTTGGGTCCGTTTACCGGTTGCCCTGTGGTTTACCTACGCGAAAGTGTTTGTCCTGCCAACCCGATAGCCTATATGCACTTTCTCGGTTTTGTTTATATTTGGCGAGCAGTTGTTTGACAGTTCATTCTGGATGCCATTGCTCATTAACTGCAACCAACGTTCCCCCAACCTTCATGTAGCCGCGACGAATTTAGAGAAGTGGAGCATTTTTTGATGTTGTGGTCGTTGAAATATATCACTGACGGGTATGGGACAGTATCAGCGCCATGGACCACTATAGCTGGCTCCTGTACCATTTTCATGCATCACGTAATAAGAGGTGAGGTATCAGAAATTGAAATGTTATTGTTTCAAATCATAGCAAATTTGACTTGAGTTTAACACATGGCTGACTTGCGTTTTCATACGATTAGCTGCAGATTTGTGATGGCTTCTCGCCTTTGGTGCTGCGATTAATTTTTCTTGGAACTGGCTTTGTAGCTAAACTGGAATTCGATTCTTGAGTCATCGTTAAATAATTTGTATACCTGAAGTGTAGTTTGCCCATTAATATTTTCACAGTATCATGACCGTATTTTGATCGTTGCCCAGTGCGCAACAAAGATTCTGACAAAGTTTGATTTGCACGAAGTTATTAACTCTGATATTTCTATGCGATATGTTGCTTTTTCTCTCTCGTTTCAAGCGTTCTTTCTTAATTGACACTACCTGAGGCACATTTCATTACACTGTTCGATTAATTTTGATTTTGTTTTCAGAAAGCGGGATGAGGCATTGTTGAAAAAAGCTAAAAAAGATCTTCTTGATGCTCAAAAGGCGTGTTTCGAGCTGGACTCGAAAGCGGTAAGTGTACAAGACCACGTGAAATGTTTTCATGTCGTCTTTCAGTAAAACGGTTCATAATTTAAGGAGATCGAAAAGCCGTCCGCTCGTTGGTATTGGCCCGAATTCGTCATCGAAGCTACCACATCCGAAGAAGTTGACGAAGTACAGGAGCCGGATCCGGGGCTTGAGCCAGAAGTTACCGCTAAGCTCGTCGCAGTGACGGCTTATCTGCGAGATTTTCATCACTACTGTCCATGGTGCGGCGTCAAATACGATAGTAAGTGCCATATTTATTAAATTACTGTCAATTTTGTTCACTTGTAATTAATCATCGGAGTTTATAAATTTCGAAATGGCTGCTGAAATACTCCGTTTTGTCCCATCGAAACCTCGTCAAATATTAATCTGTGAAGTAAGAGTATATATTATACCATGCGAGGATATTTTAAACTAAAATCCCGTATGATGCCATAAGGATGCACTGCTTCCATGTCCGCAGCATGTATATATATATATTTTACAACGGTAATTACATTACACTGTTTGTATAATCTTTGATTGATATTTTGATATCATTGAGTCTACCGTCCTTATTCCTACCTTCTCAGCTCTATGCAGGGTCAGTCCTTTAAAATGGTAGTGCCTTGAATTGCTGTATCTTTACTGCTTCATCAGTTTACTGCATCCTCATCTATGGAATTTCGATGCAGAAATGTTTTATCTGTGCTATTCGTCAAGTACTGAATGCACAGGATTAGCTGTCATATTTTCCTTGCCATGGTTCTACTCATTACACGCTGAGCTGCAACTCAGGTGCTGGGGTATCTTGAATTTCCTTGCGTCCATTTCACGGATCGTGGAAAGGCCGTATTTTCGATGCCCACCGTTAATATTACCGTGAATAATGTATGGAAACAGCACAAGGTGAAGCATGTCTTCGAAGGCAAGTAATTTAAACAGGCTAAGAGAGGACTGATTCAGAGAAGGGTGATTCTGAATGACGACTGCCACTTTGCAAGGCGCTGGTTCCCGCTGTTTAGAACTAACGAATTCAGGTACTTATTAACGGTGATGTTTTTCAAGGCCTACACATCATTGTTCGTTATGAATCATGGCTACAGCCGAATGTGAAATCTTGGCATTAGCAACTTGCCTTGCTTTCAGGACTGATTGTATTCGAAGCGTTTATTCGATTTCACGGTCCGCTTCCATTCATTTAGCTATGCTAGTCTACCAAGTTGTCGAACTAGTAATAGGACAGTGAGCCGAAACAAGGCGAAATCTTCAATATACTGTTATCATACGGCCTATATCTGCCCAAAGTCCAAAGTCCGCCCGTAATGTGATTGTAGAATGAAAGTCCAGAAACAAGTCTTTTCTCCAATGTTCAAACTCTCGACCTGTAGAGGAAACGACTAAAAGGGTATATATCCAAATTTCCTGTACTTTACAGTTTTTATTTTTGGCTGCATTATTCACATCTGTTTTGCTTCGAAACCTATCAGTTATGACTATCACTCAGATTTAATAAAAATCCATTAGAACCTCGGCTGATCGTTTCGTGGTTCATGGTTACCGTAGCGGCTAAAGGAGTACCAACTCACCGTACCTCACTCTGCGGAGCTGCCCCTATTTTTATTGTTTTCCGTTCCTTGCGACAGTGACTGTTAACCTTTGATTAAACGATTTTTCGCACGCGTCCATGTTTTTCACTCGACAGTTGAATTTTGTTTTTGCTTCTAATTTTAATGATTTCAGGCTTAGAAGATCTTTTGGAGTCTTGTCCTGGAGACAACTCTGAATGTCATTGACGTTTAACAGAATCTTCCATGATAGTTGTATGTTCCCTTGTTTTTGGTTGTTGTACAGTAAACGTTTCAGTTCTGCGTTCTGATTTTGGGCGATTAACTTCGTCCTCATGCATATCTGACTCTATCGAGTTCACTCTTTGATACTATTTGCTTTGTGAGTCAAGTTTCTTGTTGCACATGATACTTTAGTATGACGTCGAGTAATGAAGTAAAGGTGCTTGTTTGTGGCGATGTCGATGGTCAGTTCGAGACTTTATGGGTACGCTTGGAGCAGGCTCTAAAGAAGGTTGGCTTCTTTGAAATGATGTTCGTGTGTGGAGAATTTTTTGGCGCTAACCATAACGAGAATCAGCGCATTTTCAGGGGCGAATTGCGATGCCCTTTGCCTACGTATATTTTAGGACCGATCAAGCCTGATCGTAAGCGATATTACTGTAATGTCGCAGGTGAACTGCTGTCCCACAATCTAACCTTTCTTGGAGAAAAGGGTATTTTCTACACTGCTTCAGGACTAAGCGTAGCTTATTTGAGCGGAACAGAGGGTGAATACATGGACATATGTCATTATTCACGGGAAGTAGTTGATGAGTTAATCGCCAGCATCACCTGTCAGCCAGACTTTGTGGGAGTAGACATCTTGCTGACCAGTCAGTGGCCAAAAGCTGCTGACCGGTTTTCTTCGACAACGCCTGATG